CTTCATTTCAGGCTATTTGTTTAGTGTTTGCTGCAGTTAGACAAATCTGGACATAGCCTGCTTATAATTGGAAGCCTGACTCTTGCAGAACAAAGAGGTAACGGTGCAACCCAGCTGTTGGAGTCTTCTTGAATAATGCATTGTCCAGTATTCTGATGAATTCTCTGTCCTCAACTGACAGGGCTATTTTACTGTTGTCATGTGTAGTAAAAAACATTGCGTTCACTATGTTGACATTGCAGAACATAGAAGTGTCATCGAGCACATGGATGTTGTCAATAGGCCTCTTCTCTTTATAATTATGAAGGCATACTACCAATTTCTTACTGCATAAATGTTAAAGGAGTTAACTTCAGATGCTTTGTCATTGTGCCTATGAGACATTGTCAGGACCATTCCACTTTATGTACTCTGAGAATGTCTTTTGCCAACAAGCCTAAGATTTCAGCATTCGTGTCCATCGAAAGGAATTTGATAAGCCAGGTGCCTTAAGTGAGGATGATAATATATAGGAATCTCTTCCTTGTTGTTGGGTAACTGATCAAATTCAATTAATGTTGGCATGGGTATGTGCATATTTACTGTAACTTGATTGAGGAGACAATGTATCCATTAGCCCTTCTACACAACCAGAACAGGTGTTAACAGTATATGGCAATGCGTGTTCTTTTATGCCAAAGGTCGCAAAGAATTTTGCTTTGATCAGAATTCTGTTGCTTGCCCATCTATTATGGCATACATCTTAGTAGCTTTCGCTGGTTGCATATAACTTGACTAAACATATCATGGCACAGCATTTAGAATTGGAATCTTCCCCACAGACTTCAGTACATAAAGAGGAAAGCTGGAACTTGACCTTGTTGCTCCCCACCATGACTTGAAACAGGACTGGATGTTGTGGATTGTCAGGATGTGGATAGGATGCATAACTGAAACATGCTTGTCATTGTTGCATTCTGTGCTCTTTACAACTTTACAGTATTTAGCGAAGTGTCTGAGGACACACACAACCTATAGCATATTCCAAATTCCTGGACAAGCTTGTTGCTTTCTTGCAGTCTTTGCTCTAAATCCACTGCAATTTCTAAGAGGTTGAGGTTTTATGTTAATTGGGCACTGACCATTGGCATCTTTATCTCTATCACTAGAAACATTCAGATCAGTAGAAGAGAATGTGGCAGGTGGAATGTCTGTTTTTATTAACTGATGTTGCTCCCCTTAAGGCTTCATGTTCAGCTGCTGTATTGTCATAGCTTGATGATGAGGCTGGCTGCTGAAGCTAGAATTATTACTTCACCAGACATGATCACTCATGAACCTGTAAAAATGTGAGAATAGAGGAAAAGATACATTAAAGTGATACTAAACCCAGGACCCTGGATTCACTATATCTGGTCTCCAACAATACACATAACATGGAAATGCAATTATTTTAGTAAATATAAATACCTTCTCTCGTCAGCAGTTAGAGCAGTTTAGTGACTTCAGCAGAGCACTGGTTAAAGCTTGTAGGAGAAGTTTTCTTTCTGCTCTAGGAGGATGTGAAACCTCTGACCTTCTGTCTGACAGTGCTGATTGGCCCTGTGCTGATCACATGAACCGCCCCAAGAAAAAAAAAAATCCTCTCTAGCAATAAACACCAAACTGATCATCTGCATGTGACCACCTGTATCAGGTGGTCATTTCAACAAAAGGAGGGGCAGAGAAGAAAGGATCAAACAGCCTTTTTACACAATGCAGAGGATTATCCCCTTAGGTTCCACAGTGAGTATAACAAGCATGCTTTATTGCAAATACAGACTGATTTTACTGTTGCGGGTTTAGTAACACTTTAATATTGCTTGTATTTTGAGCCCTGTGCTGCCCATTTGTCTTGTAGGCTGTATGGCAGTGTTTTTTTTTCCTCAAATATCTTATTTAGTGTAAGAGATTTAGCAAAACCGCAAATGACAGCCATTAATAAATGAACAAGTCACAGGATTTCCAACCCTGCATGAAATAGTATACAATAGTTGGGTAAGAAACATTGTATGGCAGTTTTGACCGCACTGGATTTATACAATGAGCAGTGTCCAAATCGCTTAGTTCCAGCAGATCAGGGTCTTGCTTCCATTGATCCCTATTAGTTATTTTTGGAAAGGTTTGATGTCTCTTGAATAAAGCACTTTCTGTTGATTTAGAGCAGGGGTCTCCAAATTGTGGCCCTTTGCTTGCCTTTATCCGGCCCTTGAGGCACGTTTGATGAATATTTTTTGAGTATCTTATTATTATAAATACCAGTAAATATACCTCCATTTGTAGACACTATAACTTTCATGTAAACCAATTAATTTACACGTATTGGGATTTTTTTTTAGCAAAGACATGTTGCAGAATACATTTTGGCCTAAATTTATGATGGAATTTGATTTTTAAAAATTTTTTACTGGATATGTTTTATAGCAAAAAGTTAAAAATGTTGTTTTTTTTTTAAATTGTCAGTCTTTTTTTGTTTATAGCACAAAAAAATAAAACATGCTGAGGCGATCATATACCACCAAAAGAAAGGTCCATTTGTGGGAAAAAAAGGACATAAATTTAATTTGGGTGCAGGATTGCATGACCGCGTAGTTGTCAGTTAAAGTAACGCAGTGCCATATTGCAAAAAATGGCCTGGTCAGGAAAGGGGGTAAATCCTCTGGAGGGCAAATGGTTAAATTTGTTACAATTTTTTTTTTTTTTTTAATTTTTAACAGCTGGGCTCCCCAAGAGTAACTGTGTGGGGTTACAGTGTTCAGGCACAACCCACACCCAAGGCCCAATTTTTCGACACCTGTGTGACTGGTGCATATCATTTAATATTTTTAGAGCAGTGCCAATTCCTGCGCTCATCAAAAGTAACTGTAAGGAGTTACAGTGCAGAGGCACCAACACCCAAGGTCCATTTTTTCAACACACCGTGTGGCAGGTGCATATCATTTAAATTTCTAGAGCAGGGTCCAATCCTGCACTCATTAAGAATAACTTTGAAGGGTTACGGTGTGAAGGCACCACCAACTGTTCGCCCGCCAAACACCCCACAATGCACTGCGCTCACAGTGCACAGTCCCCACCCCCACACTATATAAGACAGAGGGGAGATTACTCTTCCAAAAAAAAAAACCATAAATAAAAATAATAATATTAATAATAATAAAAAATAATATAAAAAAATAAAAATAAAACAAAAAATTAGATTAAAAAAAACACGGTGGGGGTGGGGCTGGGCCCACCCCCCTCATGGGGCCCACCCCCCTCAATCCTTACCCAGGCCCTTTAGGTCTGGTAGGAAGGTTAGGAGGGACCCCACAGTAAAAAAAAAAATGTTTCTTTTAAAGTGCATGGGGTTCTCCCCTAAAATCTATACCAGGCCCTTTAGGCCTGGTAGGACTTTTAAGGTGAACCCCCACCTCCAACAATGGGGGGGAAATGCATGGAGTTCCCCCTAAAAGCATTACTAGATGCTTTAGGACTGGTAGGAATTTAGGGGGAATCCCATGCACTTTTTCCCCCCACTTTTGGGAGGCAAGCTTCCCCTTAAAAGTCCTACCAGGCCTAAAGGCCTAGTATGGCTTTTAGGGGGAACCCCACACACTTTTTATTTTTAACATCCAGGATGTCTATGGCATGGTACAATAATAGAAACATAGAAAACATTACAAGGCAATACATGGCTGCAACAGTATTTAAGCACATAGAACAGAAGATACATTTCAAGGCAGTGCAACCATTCAAGTGCAGAAGGAAAGGGTTCACACAAAGAGGGAGGGAGGGGGAGAAAAAACTCCCAGAAAAGGTATCAAGTACACTGTCAAGGTCAACGCAACCAATTTCAAGAAAACAAGACCAAGATAACCTGTTTATTGTGCCATGCACGGTTGCCAAACCTTATCATGTCTTCTAGGACAACCCCTATTAATATATTTCAATTTGTACATAGGTAACACTGCATTAATGGAAGCTTCCCACAAGGCCACTGAGGAGGGGGGGTGGTAGTCCAATTACGCAGTATCTCCTTTTTTGCATAGTACAATAGGTAGAAAAGGAGCAATTTAGTATAGCGAGGCCTTTGCTCATTGTCCTATCCCAGAACATATGGAAATAAGTGCCTTCACATGTATGACAGCAGAGACAGGCAGCAGATCTCTGTGGGTAGATTCTGTACAGTCTCTGAGGCATATACAACCCCTGGCAAAAAGTATGGAATCATCACTCTTGGAAAATGTTCGTTCCATTGTTTAATTGTGTAGAAAAAAAACAAAAAACAATCACAGACATGCCTCAAAACTATTTTCATATATGATTTTTCATATATGATTCCAACCTTCTGGCTTTAAGAAACACTTAAAAAATAAAAAAGAAACTGTAGTCAATTGCAACTGTTTTTTGCAGATCAAGCTGAGGAAAATGTTATGGAATCACCACACATCTGCATCCATCAGATTACTGTATTTAGGCGCACTTTCTTCCACCCAAAAAAAGTCTGTGCGTCTTATGGAGCGAATATCGAGCGGCCAGCCCAGTATTCCCCCCCTGTGTTAGAATGCCAGGCCGGCCGCTCAGCTCTTCTTTGCAGACCTCCAGCGGTCCTACCTGTTCCTTGGTCCAGCTGTGTCCTCAGTCTTCTCACCCTAGCGCCGGCATGAGCACCTGGCTGTGACAGCTTGCGGCTTCACAGTCAGGTGCCCACTGCGCATGCGAGAGAAGCACCGCACTTTGTGAATAGCCCTGTAATCTTCTGGGACCTGTCACATGTCCCAGAAGACTGCGGGGAGGGAGGGGGAAGGACAACTCCGTGGAAGTGGGAGCGTGTACCTGTCAAATTTGGGTACCCACTGCACAAAGGTCTGCAGTCTCTGGTCTTCTGTACTGTGTCCACAGTCTCTGGTCTTCTGTACTGTGTCCGCAGTCTCTGGTCATCTCCTGTACCATGTCTGCAGTCTCTGGTCATCTCCTGTACCGTGTCCACAGTCTCTGGTCATCTCCTGTACCGTGTCCACAGTCTCTGGTCATCTCCTGTACCGTGTCCACAGTCTCTGGTCATCTCCTGTACCGTGTCCACAGTCTCTGGTCATCCCCTGTACCGTGTCCGCAGTCTCTGGTCATCTCCTGTACCGTGTCCGCAGTCTCTGGTCATCCCCTGTACCGTGTTCGCAGTCTCTGGTCATCTCCTTTACTATGTCCGCAGTCTCTGGTCATCCCCTTTACCGTGTTTGCAGTCTCTGGTCATCCCCTGTACCGTGTCCGCAGTCTCTGATCATCTCCTGTACTATGTCCGCAGTCTCTGGTCATCTCCTGTACTGTGTCCGCAGTCTCTGGTCATCTCCTGTAGTATGTCCACAGTCTCTGGTCATCTGTAGTATGTCCGCAGTCTCTGGTCATCTCCTGTACTATGTCTGCAGTCCATTGGTTCAGAATATTTTTTTTCTGTTTTCCATCTCTAAAATCTAGGTGTGCCTTATGGTCAGGTGCGTGTTTCTTATGGAGCGAAAAATATGGTACATCTGCTAATTAGTCTGCAGTTAAAAAAGAGTGCTTAACACCTTGGTGAGCTGTTGCTCCAAGCTGATTGACATGAATCATGGCTCCAACACGAGAGATGTCAGTTGAAACAAAGGAGAGGATTATAAAACTTCTTCAAGAAAGTAAATCATCCCAGAACGTTGCAAAAGATGTTGGTTGTTCCCACTCAGCTGTGTCTAAAATCTGGACCAAGTACAAATCAAATGGGAACGTTGTAAAAGGGAAGCGTACTGATAGACCAGAAGACATCAAAGCGTCAAGATAGAACACTTACAGCAATATGCCTTGAAATGCACAACAAAACAAATGGGCAGAAACTAGAGTCAATATCTGTGACCGAACTGTAAGACATCACCTAAAGGAAATGGGATTTACACACACAAAAGCCAAACGAAAACCATCATTAACACCTAAACAGAATAAAACAAGGTTACAGTGGGCTAAAGAAAACCAATCATGGACTCTGGATGACTGGATGAAAGTGATATTCAGTGATGAATTGCGAATCTGCATTGGGCAGGGTGGTGATGCTGGAACTTTTGTTTTGTGCTGTTCCAATGAAATGCATGTCTGGTAAAGGTACGGGGGAGATGACAGTCAGTAAATCTTCAATAAATGCACAAGTTTATATTGAGATTTTGGACACGTTTCTTATTCCATCAGTTGAAAGGATGTTTGGTGAAGATGACATAATTTTTCAGGATGATAATGCATCTTGCCATATGGCAAAAGCTGTGAAAACTTTCCTTCAAAAAAGACATATGGGGGTTGATTTACCAAAGTGACCAGTTGGCGTATAGGCTCATACCCGTGGACGAAGTCCACTTTTCAATGGACGCCGTCTACTTTTATGCAGAGAAGAGATTTATTAAAACACGTGTCAACAAATAGATGCGAATGCAAATTTAGTAACGGACACAAAAAAAGAGCCCGTCTAAAAAAGCTCACGTCCTAGAACCACATCTAAAGTAATGAAAAATAGCTTTGAAAACATGATCACATTTAATTTTTATTTCCCAGATATCTGTATATAAGTTTAAAGAATACCTACGTTCAAAATATGATAAATATGTGTGTGGCAAATAAAATATTTAGCAAAATCCAGATCAGCAAGAACGGCATGCAGTGCCAACATCTATGTAGTAATATAAGTGCGCATGCCCAAATCAAAAAATTGCAAAATCCTGTTCGCACTTTTCTATTAGACTGTGCCTTAAGTAAATGTCTGTATTCTGTACTTTCAGAAAAGGCATTCGCGAGCGTCAACTTACTTTTAGAAACAGCACTGATTTTATCCAGGCTTATTTATGTTTTCTAGTTTTTTTTTTCTTCTATTGATTATTTTTTAGTTTCTTATCCTTTATTATGATTGTCTTCTACAGTTTTACATTACATTTATTCCTATTTATCTAAATGTTGTGATATTTATATATCATATTTCTAATATATAGATTATATATATTATTGTGCATTTATTATGTCCTAGTATACATCCATGATTGTAACTGTAGAACTGTTTCTACACAGATAAACATCCATATAGATCATTTTAGAACTTCTAATTTCCATTTTTAATAATTTGTAAGCTGCGTTTCTGTGTTTCTTATACACTAATTTTCTTTTCTACTAATTTAATGAATGCACCTAAAAATAATCTTAAGCCAAACTCCCACAGCTGTCTTCACAAACCACATACAAAACCACTGCTGTAGTAAAATTTAAAATTAAACTTTTTTTTTTCAATCTGGAATGACGTTATATTAATTTGTGTAAGTCATACAAATAGCAAAACAAAGGATCACATAAAGAATGGTATCAAAGAATCATTCATTAACAAAAAGAACAATGTAAGAAAGGAAACTTTCCAGTGCTACCAGTTATGCAAGAAATCCAAGAGTTTCTGCAAATTTACAGTGTTATTGTGTTAGTATGCTGTAAGATCACATAGTAATTTCCACACATTCAGATCATTAGGAGTATCCCCATTACAATGGACCCACAGGGAACAGAGAGCACCCCTCCCCCCACCACTCAATTTAGAAGGGTCATAGGATGGCATGATAAAATAACAATCAAAGTATATTTGAAAACAATTACAACAGCCTATGCATTATCAGAATAAAAGAGGCTAAACCTGGAGTGGCCAACCATGCGCTCCAAAGTTTCTCAAATTTACCCAAGCATCCCCGATGTTGGTAAATTAAATGATCATATCGTAGAATGATTCCCATATTTTACTTCCAGTCAGCTACAGTGGGAGGAGTATCTGAGTTCTAGCGTGCAAGAATCACCTTGCGTGCCTGGAACAAGGCCTTAGAAAGGGCTTCTAATATAAATGTTTTCTGCATTACAGAATCTAAGATACCCAAGAGGCATTGCTTAGGATGCAGAATTAGATTAGTTTGAAACACCAAATTAAGAGTAGTAACCACCTCCTTCCAATAGCTTTGAAGTTTTGGGCATCGCCATAGCATATAAATCAGGTCCCCATGGTCCCGCTTACATCTGCCACATAGGGGGTCCTGGCATAGCCCCATCGAACATAATTTTGCTGGAGTGTAATGAGCTCTTAAGTACAGTATACAATTGAGAAATGCGATGGGAAACCGTCAACGAACTAAGATGGATTGACTGCAAGGCAGCTTCCCACTGGTCATCCTCAAAAGTCCCAACATCTCGCTCCCATTGCCCATTAGCCTTATTTGGGTATTTTTCAAGATAGTCTGTCAGAAGCATGTTATAGCAGCGAGCGATGAGCCCCCTGGTCATTTTAGCAGAGTGCAAGTAATTACAAATAGGGGTAGGAGAGGAGTGACAGAAGGTTGATGATGGGCTCTGAGCAGTGACTGCATGTTTTAACTGCATGTAGTAAGATAACATTGTAGATGGAAAATTATATCTGGACTGCAATATATCAAAGGAGATAAGTTGAACATTGCTAAATATATGCTTTAAGTGAGTTATCCCATAAGCTTTCCATTTAGAGACATATTGTAATTTGGCTAGTTCAGGCAATGTCGCATTATTCCATATGGGACTATAGGCTGTATGGCCCATAATCTGCTGCAACTACTTAACCTTAATCCAAATTTTATGCATTAGGCAATATGTAAGAAATAATTTATTTGGTTTACAAAAAGATTGAGCCTCAAGACCCTCCAGTAAGGAGCTAGAGGCCGTGCAATGCTGCATCACATTTAGAATAGAGTCATCAACTGGAGCATAGTCAGCACTTCTTTCTGCAATACCTTTATAAAGATGCTGCAGTTGGCTAGCTAAGTAGTACAACCAGGGGTTGGGCAAAGCTATCCCCCCTCTATCCATGGGACGTTGCAAGTGTTCCAGTCTAATCCGAGGCGGATGGCCCCCTCAAAGCAATGAGCGAAAAATGGTATTTATGATTGAAAAGGTTTTCAGTGGAATCATGACTGACGAGTTATGAAGAAAGTACAACAATTGGGGCATAAATATAATTTTTATAAGATTTGCTCTACCTGCCAGAGATAACCAGAATTTGGACCATATCTTAACCTTATCTTTAAATCGGGTCAACAAGGGAGCTACATTCAAGTGACAATAATCTAGTAAATCGGTGCTAATGAGAATACCCAGGTATGTAAAGGAAGTTGCTATCATAACCGGACAAAAAGTAGGCACTGCTGGATCAGTAACCCCATCCAGTGGCAACAGCGCCGATTTAGACCAGTTAATTATTGTCCAAACTGTGAGATAATATGCATGATTGTATGCAAAGATGATCCTGTATCACCAAGCAAAAGCAATACATCATCTGCATATAGCAATATTTTGCAGGATACCGCATAACTCTTATGGTAAAGATGGTATATAGGATAGTGAGCACTGAAAAAAAGATTTGGAAGATCAATCAGAACTGAGGCACAACAGTGCCTAACAAAACAAGAAAAATTAAACTTAAAAGGAATACAAATGTTATGCTGTGTTACTAAATGAGATATGTGTTGGTCATACTGTCTGTATCCCAATACAAAGGTTCACAATATTATCCCCCAAAATGTTAACCCCTGTAAAATTTTGCTTGGTTCACTTTGGAATAGTGGTGTCATCCTCTGAATTTTGTTTAAACTTTTTTATTTATGATTTTGGTAAACATAGCACATTTTTAAGGATATTACTATATCAATATTACAATCCTTTGTATTGGAATACATAGAACCAACACACATCTGAATTTGCAACATAGCGCAACATTTGTCTCACATTTTAGATATTTTGCTTATTACACTGAGCATGCCCAAAGACTTAGGGTTGGTTCACACCACAGAAATGCAGTCAGGATGTGTGTGATAGCACAGTGGCTAAGTGGTTAGCACTTCTGCCTAATAACACTAGGGTCGTTGGTTTGAATCCCAACCATGGCAATGAAGTTGCATGTTCTCCCTGTGCAGCTGTCCTCACAAAGACATGCTGTTAGCATATTTAGCTTCTGTCTAAATTATCCCTAGTATCTGAATAAGAATTAGGGAGTTCAGGCAGTGCCTGATGTGAATGTACAATATCTATGTAAAATGTTGGTGCTATATAAGTGACTGAAATAATGGATGTTTTTATATTGGTTGTTTGCAACCTGACCCTTTTTTGAAGGGTTTGTCAACCAAAGAGCTGAGATTACAAATAAAAAAGGTGTGTGTGTGTGTGTGTGTGTTGGACCTGTATTCCATAATTGATACACATAGCCAAGGGCTAATGCAGTTGGAAAGAGTATTTGTGCCTGCTAATCAGGTACAATCTCTTTAACAGACAAAATTAATGACAATGGTGGGCATGTGGAGTTGTCTGGCATGCTAAACACTTCTCAAAAAAATTAAAGCAACACTTTTTAGCATCCCTGGCGGTATTCCCAAGTGTAGCTCAGGGTAAACTTTCAGTACCAAAAGCGGTAACCCCAAGCTACACACAGGATTACCCTGCAGTGTTGCTCTGGGATTCCTGCAGCA